TCCTTCACCTTCAACGCTATCCAAAAGTCATACAATTAAAAAAAAATAGTTCTAGGTATTCCTCCGCCAGCAAATGTAAGGCTTCCTTGAGTTGTGATTCTTTTTTTGGGGGGTGGGATAGGGTGTTGTGTGCAAACACACACGCGCTGGCGGTGCGCATTTACCGCTCGCTTTTCAACCATCTACGATGTTCGAAGGAGAGTCTTCAGCAGCAACGCTGATTGGGGTTGAAGGATTTACAGCAGTCAGATTTGACACCAAAAGAAGGGTCTGTCGAGTCTGAGCTTTGCACACTTGGTGCTCGTGGCTCTTAAATTGATTGTGTGACCAGTCGCTTGAGCCATCGGCTTGACTGAATTGAAGAATAAGTGTTTAAAAAGCCCTACCTGTCATGCCGTGAAGGAAAGTTAACCGCAGCAGAAGACAAAGCCCATGAAACACTGAGAGCCTGTTCACTGAATGAACAGCTTAAGGCAGCTGTCAACAAAGTACCCCACCAAAGGAATTAAAAAAAACCCAAAAAGAAGTGAGAACAAAAAGGAAAGTGGCTGAATTGTGAATTAAAGGAATTAAAAAATAGTGAAAACAAAAATGAAAGTGGCTGAATAGTGACACTGTGCATTATTACAACACCAACAGATTATTATACACTCAAGGTTTCTCAAGTAATGAACATGTAGCCATTAAACAAATTATTACTCTCAAGACATTTATTACAAATGTCAGAAACTTATTCATAAAACAAAACTGACTTAAAAAAAAAAAAAAGAAAGAAAAAAAAAGCCAGAGCTGGGATCTTACATCTAAACACAGGTATACGCTGTCTTGATGAATAAGCAGTATTAACTACATTCTTAAAAGAGTTTTAGTGCATTGCATTCTTAAAAAAGAAAAACATCACCGCCCCAAAATGTTTCCTACAACATTTAACAGTTTATAGAACTAGCCTAGTTATTTTTACCTGCCTGTTACTAAGCCCAACGTGTTAGCAGAGTGAAGCCTCTTGTTTTAGGCTAAATTCAGACTTCTATTAAGGATGAAACTGGTTTAAAAAAATGCTTGCTTCACCAAATTTTGTAAGCAAATTACATTAATCAGTGTCTCACTGCCATACCGCTACCACTATTGCCCCGACGGACCACTCTCTCCTCAAAAAAAAACTTGCTATGCAATAACAGTCGGAAACCTTTCAATCTGGTAGTTTTGGTATTAAGATTAAATTAGACATTAATGGTTTTCATCTAAAAACGTATAAACTAAACCACCTCTTTTATTTTATGCATTAAAAACAATGAGGTAGGCACAAAAAATAAACATATGTAGTTTGGATTTTATTTCTATTTTTTTTTCCTTTTTTTTTTTTTTTTTT